CTACATTTAGTTAGGGATTGAGCACTCTTTTTTTAACTCCAATAGAAAAGTTTCTAAATGGTGATTGTTCCCTTTCTAAATAGTAAGGCAGATCAATATCTGCATATCACATTGTAATATACAAGAATTGGCACCCTTCCTCTCCTACCTTAGAAAATAAGGTTAAACCATTCACCACAAAGGTTCTCCATGTTGATACCTTCACAAAAAAAACAGGGTTTTTTTTTTAAAAAAAGTGAAAAGAAAAAGATACTCAAGAATAGAATGGTGCAAATCATTAAGAAAACTTGGGTTTATAAAAGCACATCAAGATAATTGTCATCTTCCATTTGCAGAAATATGCTGTAAACAAACTGCTAAAACATTATTAGAGAAAGGTCTGTTTAAGTTCTTTTATCTTTCTCTATGTTCATTTCATTTTATTATTTTGATAATACGCACAATGAAATTCCACATTTCTCAGTGACGATAAAAGCTTAAGGTTGCAATAATTTAGTTGCTGAGGTTCTGCAGAAAATTCGGGGTATAGATTGGAAATTTTTATTATCATATAAAATCTTAACGCTTCCCAATTTTTTATACTAATTAATATACTGAACTCTATATAAGTGTTTCATGTGCTAGCGAGGCTTACAGACTTACTCATCTCAGTCTTACTAATTGAAGATACATCGATATGCATTTTGCAAAAGAGGAAAATGAAGCTCAGTTCCTCGCTCATCGTCACATAGCTAATGAGAAGTGGAACTAGTATTTAATCCTCCTACTATTTAATCTGACTTTAAAGTGCTTACATGTATTCGTATACGATTTTGATCTTAAACCTAAACAATGCATTTAAGAATTTCTATGACTTGAACTTTAGTCTTTGTCTTTGCTAAATATTAAACACATACAGACATCACTACACAATGAACTTAATCACACAATTCCTAGTTCTTGATTTTTATTCTCCTTTTTCTTTACCTTGAATCTCTCTTCCTCATTTGTGCTGATGAGAATCCTACATTTGAATCTCATTGTGCAGGCCTTTCACAAAGTCTCCTTCAATCCTCACTCCCCAACTGAAAATTTCTTCTTCTCACTTCTGTCCTATCACTATATCTTCCTAAAATACTGCATTTTATCTGTAGTTATTACAGAAAAGGAAACTGAAGGCCAAAATGGGAGAGTTAAACCAGTTTACAAAGTTATTTAGGTCAAAATTGGTAGATGAGATTCCACGAGTTGATTCCAACCTGGTTTTTCCTATTATACAACACACCTACTATGATTACCAATGCAAGATTCTAGAAATATTGAACGATCTATTCCCTTTGTATTATGGTAAGTGGCGTGGCAGGCAGTTCCAAGCAGAGTGAAGTAAGTGGGGTCAAGGAGATGAGGCTCGGAGAACTTATTAAGATCTGATCTGGTAATTAATTAAATACTCTAAGTTTCAGTTTTCCTCTTAGTAAATTCAAAATGTATGATACTATGATATTAAATAATATGCTAAATTCTTAGCAAAAGGCCACTAACTGCCAGTTGTCGATAAATGGCATTAATATCAGTTACAGTAAGTGAAATCCAATGGAACGATGTTTTATGTCACTATTTCACAGAGCTTGCCTCTCAACTGAGAAATATAGTTCCGAGTCTTATGTGCGATTATATTCATTGATTATTTAATCTCATATGACTATAGAAAATAAATAGTAAGCAGGATGAGTCCTATGGTTGCTATTCTAAAATTAAAGCATCATTTCTTAAATTCATGTATGTAAGTCTCTGTTTGTTTGTTGTTTGGCTATGGATTGTGCCATTGTGTGTATGTAAGCCATTCCACGGCTTGCATGTTAAGCGGGGCCAGCTATCATCTTCCTTAAAAAATAATATTAATCATTATTTTTCCTTAAAGGGAGAAAGATAAGGCTTAAGGCGTTAACTCGAAAATCACTATGGAGCTGCTGCACAGTAGGAACAATCAAGCAAATGAGCGACACAGCAACTAAAAGCCTTTGCCCAAACTGATTCAATGCTTTTCACAAATAGCAAAGTGAACCGTTAGGGCAGCCCATTTTGAACATTTTCATTAAACGGGTAGATGATGAAAAAAGATGTAAGTATAAGATACCATATTCTATAGAAATAATCATTTATTATATTCTCAAGAATTGATCAATTACTGCAAAGTGAAATTGATTATTCTTTAAACCTGAACTTTTAAGGTCAGAGTTAACTTCTGGTCAATATATATTACCCCAAGTGTGTTAGGAATATTTTGAAAGATTCATAGTACAAGGATCAAAAATTGTGTGATTAATGAGACAATACATGAGTACTGAGAAGGTTAGTGAAATCTGTAATGGTAGGAAGAACAGACTTCCGGAAGAGGCGAATACGGTGTCATGAAACTGTAAGATTTGACATTAATAATAGGTAAAGGAAATGAAGAGTCCTTTGTTTTTTCATTCTCATATGAAGTAGTTGGACATGGTGGAGGAAATCTTCCATTGGAAAATTTTAGATCATCTAGAGTGAGTAGAAGTTCTGAACGTTTTATTCTCACTCCAAGAAATATGATGCGGATGAAGTTCCCACCCACTGTTCGGTAACATGGCTTAATATTGACAGGGTGATTCCCAACCTGGGGGCAGACCACCTAATGTCAAAGTGGCATATCGGATTCCGTGCCCAGCCTAACAAACTAATGGCTTATACTATGCATCCCTAGGTGAAACGATATTTCTTTCTTACCCATTATTTATACCAATGATTTTAGATGAGTGAAAACTGTTGTCATGAGACAGTGGTGTGTGAGCCTTCTTGTGAAATTCCATAGTATCATCAAAATTCTTAAAAGCTGAATTTCAATTTACTCAATAAAATACCATCAGCACATTTGCTTGTAGGACTTACGGGAAAAGAAAGTGTAAAAAACAAAATCAGGATTATGTTTTATATTAATAAGTATTATGCCTTAAATTTGACAAGAATAAGATAATCAATTCTTGTGTTTAATGTTTGATGTTGAATGAATGAAATACTAGAAAATGAGCTTATATGACTATATAAATGTAAAATTGAGAATAGAAATAGTAATGATGATGATAGCATTGTAATATGGTACATATTCTGAGTCGAATATGTTTTTTTTTTTTTTTTTTTTTTTTTTGAGACAGGAGTCCGGCTTTGTTGCCCCGGCTAGAGTGGTGCCGTGCGTAGCTAGCCACAGCAACTCAATCCGGGCTCGAGTGTACTTGCATGCTCAGCTCCCGGAGTAGCTGGACTAACAGGCATGCCCCACGCAGCCGCCTAATTTTTATATAATACCTCAGTTGCCAATTAATTTCTTCTATTCTTATAGTTAGATGACGGGGTTCTTCGCCTGCTCAGGCTGGTTTTGACTCCTGAACGCTTGAGGCACATCCGCCGCGCCTCGGCCCCCAAGACTAGATTACAGGTCGTGAGCCACAGCGCCCGTCGAATATGTGTTTTAAGTACTCTATATTATATATTTTTTTGTTAATACAGACAAAAGCTAGCTGTAATTATTACCTCATTTTTATATACATTTTTAATGGCTCAAAATAATTGTACAATAATAGAGGT